CACATCATGGCACTTCGTCCTTCCTCTGTTCCATAGCGTGTTGTCCTGACGTCGCCTCCAACGTCTTCTCTTCCTCGTGTTCCTAACCCTGAGTCCGACCTTGTCCGTATTGCCAGTTTAACTGTCACTCATCTTCTTGCCACGGTTGTGACTGACCCTTCCTTTGAGTCTGTTGCTGCGTCTGCCTTAGTTGCTGAGCTTGTTGACATTGCTGTTTTGTGCCGCCTTGACCACGTTGCGACTTGTTTTTTACTCTTCCTGTCCTCCGTTCATCGAGGGTGAGCTTGCCCTTCGGTGTGACATCCTTGAGGATAGCAAGTTTGAGCTGGAGTGCCTAGCGGCCGCTGCACCTCATCTCGCTTCCGCGCTACTTTGCCATAAGGGAGACCCAAATGCACTGGACATCCCGACCCCGCGTTCTACGCAGACACGATCACGGGCCCGTAATCATCTCCGTGGCAGATAGCCATGGACGCATAGATGACTTCCTGGAATTCCACAGGGCACCTACGTTGACGCACTTAACCCCATCTGGGGCGAACATAGTCGATGGCATATACATTTTCATGGTGAAGCAGTTAGCGGGTTCTCCGCCTGCTTTCAAGGGGCGTTACATTGCACGAGGCTTTGGTCAGCGTGAGGGGGTCGAATTATTCCAGACCTTCTCCCCACCTCAAAGATGACCACTCTTCGGGGTACTACCTGCACGTTGCAACACAGCGCAACTACGAGCTGCACTCACTCAACTTCTCGACAGCTTTCTTGCTGGGCAGCCTTCACGAGGGCTATCTGGTTGCGCCGCCCACCTGGCTTCACTGGGTCGTTTCCTGAGGGTACCCAGTGGAGTCTCCGACGACTAGTCTACGGTCTGCGCCCAGGCACCCCGTGAGTGGCACGATACATTGAGGACAACATTTGCGGCTCTTGGTTTCGCTCCCTCGACTGCTGACTCTTCGCTGTTTCTGCGCACAGACACTTCTCTGCCGCCGTTCTACGTTCTTGTGTATGCCGAAGACTTGGTTTTTAGTATTGCTGACACGAGGCACTGGCCCAAGTGAAAGCGAAGATGCATGAGAGACACACCTGCACTGACCTGGGTGAGCTGGCGGAGCTATCTTGGCTTGTATATCACCCGGGACACAGCATGGCGCACCATCACCCTGACTTAGTCACACATGGTGCACCAAGTCCTTCAGCGCTTCGACTTCGAGTTCTCACTCGCCACTTGCCCACTCCTCTGCATACAGGCCACTCGCTCTCAGCTCCACCTTTGGACGAGTCTGTAGAGCCGAGTGGTCCGTATCCAGAGCTGTGGGTTGCCTCATGTACCTGATGACGTGCACACGATCTGACCTCGCGTACCTCTCATGCCTTCTGGCTCACTACGTGGCTCCCGGTAGACATCCAAATGTGCACTGGAAGCTGCGAAGAGGGTACTACGTTACTTGTGCAGGTACATCGGGCATGGGGCTCGTGCTTCGAGGATGGGGTTCAGTTATTCTCACCAGTCACTCAAACGCTTCTTGGGCTGACGACCTGTTGACCTCACCAGTCGACACATGGGTACAGTTTCAGCCTCAACATTGGTTCTGTCTCGTGGAGGACCACTCGCTCTTCTTCTGTACTTGATTCCAACTGTGAGGCCGAGATCTACGCTAGGGCTTGTGGCTGCACAAGAGCTCCGCTGGCTGACCTACCTGCTGACCGACTTGGGTGAGCGACCTCGTTGTCCTCCAGTTCTGTACGTCGACAACAAGGCCATGATTGCCTTGTGCCAGAATCAGAGACTGGAGCACAGAACGAAGCACATTGATCTCCGTTACTTCCTCATGCGAGAGCTGCAGAAGTGTGGTCAGCTTCGTCTTCCTTACGTGGCCAGACAGGCCAACACTGCTGATGTTTTCACCAAGGCCCTTGGGTCTAGTAATTATCAACGTTTCTGCACTACTCTTGGGCTTATGCCCACGCTGCCTTACCTGCTTGTCTCTTGATATTGCCTTGCACTTGTTGTACTATCGGATATACATGATTATACCTGCATGTTTGCACTTGCTAGGTTGTGATTAGTGTACGGAATTTGCTTTTATATACTCTGCACAATGAATAGGCCTTGTGGCCGCTTCCTTGTGCTCAGAATGCGTGGTGATCTTGAGATCCACCCTGAGCTTTGCTTTGCTTTGTTTTGCTTTGCTTTGTTCTCTGCTTGACTGTTCTTGTGGCCTCTTGTTGTCCCCCACTTCGCCTATGGGGGTGTGTCAAAACATGTTTATATCATGTTAATTCTGTTAGTCTGTAGTGGGTCACTCCTTATGGGTATAACACTTGTTAGGGTTAGTACTTGTACCACGTTTCCTGTTAGTCAATTATTCATGTTTTCTATTTCGACGTTCAAACTCTCGACACCATTTTGAACTCACCAAAAAGCGATCCTGCGCAGGATCGGTCGCGAAATTAGTGCTAGAGGTGTCGTGTCTAATATATTATTGCTCTTGCGCTTACTGATCCCTGTTTCACGGGCCACACTCGCATTCTTACGAACGATACATGCTGCACGAAAAAACATACCGTATTCTTCACCAGTACAGCATTTTTCCCTTGTGGCAATCCGTGTGTCGTGAGGATCTGCCATTGTCATCCACAGACTTCAGGAGGACCCCTGCTTTCCATTTATTGCCTTCAGCTGGCGGATCCGATGCTGCATCCACCAAATCAAGGCATGAATATGGTCATACCAGCCAGGCCAGCCCTGGTCTCAGCCTATTCAACTTAGGCCAAATCGCCCACAGATTCAGGTTCCCTTCACAGCCTTGTTGGGAGGATGGGGAGATAAGGGAGCATGGAGGGGGGAGGAAGGATGGAGGGATAAGGGAGGATGGAGGGACAAGGAAGGATGGAGGGGGAAGGGGGGATGGAGGGAAGGAAGGAAGAAGGGGGAAGGGAGGATGGAGGGAAGGGAGAATGGAGGGGAAAGGCAGGATGGAGGGGGAAGGCAACTTGGAAGAAGAAAGTAGGATGGAGTGAAGGATGGATGAAGGGAAGAGGGAGGATAGTGGGGGAAGGGAGGCGTTAGCTGCATGAGTGGAAACAGCAGTGGGCAAGTGATCATTATTGGCCCTGTTTGGTAGCAGAGTAAGATATGATTGGTAAATTTGACAATGGTGGGGGGAATCTGGCAAGAAACTGGTTACGATTGTATGCGACGGTTTATATTTCCCGCCAGCGCGAACGAAAAACCATGCGATGATTCAGATTTCCCGCCCGATTCCCAAAACAAGGCAGGAAAGTCTAACAGTGTTCCGGACCCCAAAGCGAACCCTAAAAGTGACTGCCGGCGTAATCATTACAGCGACATCACACTCCTCTCAGGCAAAACGTCCCACCATTGTGACACCATTGCCATTTATATTTTCAGGTTGTGTCGCCACCGTCAGAATATATTTTATATATATTTATGTATAAGTGCATGTAGTTCTAGCTGTAGTGTAGTTACATAGCTGTCCTGTTTGGTGGTGCACCACTCCTTGCATGTTTCTCTTCTATTTGTACTTGCAATTTTATAGTGAAGCCCCTCTTTTTGCTTTGGCAACTCTCTCGACACTCTCTTGCCTAGCCTAAACCCTAGGCTCCTTGTCCTAAGTTATGAACCTATTTTGACAGCCACCATTCTAGACGGAGGGGCTATTTAGGGATAGTCTAAATGACCCGTTTCCCTATGTTTGGCTGCCCAAATGTACGGTAAACTAACAATCCAATCTACCATCACCCCCCGGATATAAGCGCCACCCTGGGATAATCGCCAGGCGCTTGTAATTGGCATATGACGCTTATATCCGCTCCTCGATGTCAGAACACTATAGCTCATGCATATTGTGTAGGCTATAGTGGGTAGCCCATAAGGGGTACAACCCAATTAGGGTTATTACTTGTACCCAATTCATTCATAGTTCATTCATTCCTTGTTTCTTCTCATGGTATCGAGCAGGTTCCCTCGTGGGAACTGTTCCTAGGGCCCACCGTTTTTTTTTCCTGCCCGGAGCGCACTCAGCCCCTGCCCGAGTCGCGCTCCCCTCTCTCGCGCCACCCTAGCGGCCCCTTCGCGCCGCCCTCGCGGCCCCTTCGAGCCGCCCTCGCGGCTCTATCCGCCGCCCTTCGCGGCCCCCTACTCCGTCGCCCTCGCGGCCCCCGATCCGCCGCCCTCGCGGCCCCTGATCCGCCGCCCTTGCGGCCCCGCTCCGCCGCCCTCGCGGCCCGATCCGCCGCCCTTCGCGGCCCCGATCCGCCGCCCTCGCGGCCCCTACTCCGCCGCCCTCGCGGCCCCGATCCGCCGCCCTCGCGGCCCCGATCCGCCGCCCTCGCGGCCCCTACTCCGCCGCCCTCGCGGCCCCTACTCTGCCGCCCTCGCGGCCCCGATCCGCCGCCCTCGCGGCCCCGATCCGCCGCCCTAGCGGCCCCGGCCCCTGCTCCTACGGCCCCGGCGCCTGCTCCTACGGCCCCCGCGCCTACTCCTACGAGCAGCCCACCCGCCGAGCCGCCCAGCAACCGAGCAGCCCAGCCGCTGAGCCGCCGAGCCGCCCAGCAACCGAGCCGCCCAGCCGCCGAGCAGCCCAGCAGCCGAGCCGCCCAGCAGCCGAGCCGCCCAGCAGCCGAGCCGCCCAGCCGCCGATACGCCCAGCAGCCGAGCCGCCCAGCAGCCGAGCCGCCCAGCCGCCGAGCCGCCCAGCAGCCGAGCCGCCCAGCAGCCGAGCCGCCGAGCCGCCCAGCAGCCGAGCCGCCCAGCCGTCGAGTCGCCGAGCCGCCCTGCAGCCGAGCCGCCCGAGCCGCCCTGTCCGGTAAGAGCAGCGCCTCTCTCACAGCACTGCCCTCACCCTACTGTTTGCACTGCTAGTCTACTGCTGTCATGGCTACCCCTAGTGTCCTCGCTTTTGACGCTGAGGGTCGGGCCATTGACTTTGATGTCTGGATAGATGACCTGTAGCTTTTCTTACAGTGCGACAGAGCAGACGGTCTCTCCCTCTTTGACCTCACTTCTGGTGCCTCTCCTGCCCCCGCTGCTGATGCTGACGCCACTGTTCGCTCACAGTGGGCCACGCGCGATGCTGCTGCACGTCTTGCTGTGCGTCGCCACCTACCTACCTCTGAGCGTGCGCACTTTAGCCAGTACAAGAGTGCTCAGACCTTGTACGACGCTGTAGTTGCACGCTACTCCTCCCCTGCCACTGCTGCACTGAGCCGCCTCATGCTACCGTACCTCTTCCCTGACCTTGCTGCCTTTCCCACAGTCGCTGACCTCATTACGCACCTCCGCACTAGTGACACTCGCTACCGCGCTGCGCTTCCTGCTGAGTTCTGCGCCAAGAACCCCCCCCCCCATGTACATCACCCTCTACTACATAGTCACCCGTCTCCCTGACTCCCTTCGCGTAGTCAGGGACCACTTCCTCTCGGTTTGTCCCACCACTCTCACCGTTGACCTCCTCGAGAAGGCCCTCCTAGCAGCAGAAAAGAGCATAGTCGCTGTAGGAGCCTCTCGTGGTGACCCTCGCACCCCCATCTTTGAGGGGTGTTCCCCCTCCCCTCTTTTGCCCTCTGTTGCCTCTGCTGCTGCGGCCGACCTCGCTGGTTTGGAGTCGGTTGGGGCAGCGTCTGCCCCTAGCGGGAGACGCCGCCCTGGCAGGGGCAAGGGGGGCAGGGGGCACTGGAGGAGCTAGCGGGGGCGGTGGAGGCGGCGGTGGAGGCGGTGGAGGAGGTGGGGGTGGCGGTGGGGGTGGTGGCGGGGGTGGAGGTGTAGGTGGCGGCAGTGGAGGCGCAGGCGGCAGCGGCGGTGGCGGAGGGAGCGGAGGTGGCGGTGGTGGAGGAGGAGGCGGCGGAGGAGGTGGAGCTGGTCGGGGTGGCGCTGCGCAGAGGGTCAGCTCCGGTGGTGGTCAGCGCCAGCAGCAGCAGCAGCAGCAGCAGCAGCAGCAGCAGCAGCAGCAGCGCACTCGTGACGTCCCCTCCCCTCAGCAGCTCCGTGAGTGGTACACTGCACGCCAGAGGGGTGGGGGTACTGGTCCGTGCACCTACGTCCTGCGCACCGGCGACCGCGCGGGTGAGCAGTGTGGGGGTGCGCACTCCACCCAGCGCTGCTTTGGCCGCCTGACGGACGCTTGGCGTCACCAGTTCCCTGAGGCCACTGAGATCCCCCGCTGGGGTGAGCTGTCTAGGGCGGGTGTCGCTGTCTTTGACCTTGACTTTGATGCTATTCTTGCTGCCATGTATACTGTGACTATTAGTGATGAGGGTGACTGTTACCGGTGTTTTCCGCCCGACCCGGGCATTGAGACTGCTGCTCTAGGTACTGGTGAGGCTGCTGCTCTAGGTGCTAGCGAGGCTGCTGCTCTAGGTGCGTCTGCTCCCTCAGGTACTGGTGAGTCTGCTCTCTCAGGTTCTGCGTCGGCTTCGGCCTCCCACACCTTTACCCTTGACTCGGGGGCTTCTCGCTCCTTCTTTCGAGACCGCACCACACTCACGCCGCTTGGCCGGCCAGTTGCGGTCTCTCTGGCAGACCCCTCTGGGGGTCCTGTCCTTGCTCACTTCTCCACTGTCCTCCCGTGTCCGGCGGCCCCCCTCTGGCACCCTGTCTGGTCTTTACCTCCCCTCGTTCTCTACGAACTTGGTGAGTGGTGCTGACCTACAGGATGCGGGGGTTCACCAGTTCACTCCTGCGAGTCAGCGGGTGACCCACTGCACGGACGCTCGGACAGGCCGACACCTGGCCACGTTTACACGTCGGCCGGGGTCGAGCCTGTACACACTGACCACTGCGTCTTCCCCGGTCCCTGCGTCTGGTCAGGTAGCTGCGTCGGGTCAGGTGTTTGCTGCAGCGTCCAGGTCTGGTCCTGAGTCTGCCCCCTGCTCGTGTCGCCTCCTGTCTCACGAGACTCTCCCTCTGGCACCACCGCCTTGGTCACCCCTCCCTGCTTCGTCTCCGGAGCATGGCCTCCCGTGTCCTTGTCTCTGGTCTTCCCCGGTCCCTCCCTCCACTTCCTCCGGGGCCTGGCCCTACCTGCGTCCCCTGTGTCGAGGGACGACAGCGGGCTACCCCTCACTCCTCCCAGTTTCCTCCGACAGAGGCCCCGCTGCAGACGCTTCACATGGACGTGTGGGGCCCGGCCCGCATCCGTGGACAGGGTCACGAGCGCTACTTCCTGCTGGTGGTTGACGACTACTCGCGTTACACCACAGTCTTCCCCTTGCGCAGCAAGGGTGATGTCACTGAGGTGTTGATCGACTGGATCCGCGCAGCTCGTCTCCAGCTCAGGCGGAGCTTCGGCTCGGACTTTCCTGTTCTGCGTCTGTACTCTGACAGAGGTGGAGAGTTCTCCTCTGGCCTTCTGCGAGCCTACTGTCGTGCACGAGGCATCCGCCAGACCTTCACGCTTCCGGACTCTCCACAGCAAAATGGGATTGCTGAGCGCCGCATTGGCATGGTCATGGACGTCGCCCGTACGTCCATGATGCATGCGGCTGCCCCCCATTTTCTGTGGCCGTTTGCGGTTCGGTACGCGGCGCATCAGATCAACCTTCAGCCCAGGGTCTCCATGCCGGAGACCTCCCCAGCCTTGCTGTGGACGGGGAAGGTTGGCGATGCGTCTGCGTTCCGTGTCTGGGGATCTCGGGCGTTTGTCCGCGACTTGTCTGCGGACAAGCTGTCCCCTCGTGCTGCTCCTTGCGTCTTCCTGGGTTTCCCCCCTGACGCCCCAGGGTGGCAGTTCTACCACCCCACCTCTCGCCGTGTTCTGTCCTCCCAGGACGTCACGTTCGACGAGTCGGTCCCTTACTACCGCCTCTTCCCCTACCGCACTCCGTCCCTCCCCCCGCCACCGCTCTTCCTGGTACCAGGTCCCCCCCCGGTAGACCCCCTCCCCCCTCAGGGTCCTGCCCCTTCAGGTGTGTCCCAGGTAGACGCTGTTGAGCCTGTCGAGGTCGCTGGTGACTCTGGTGCTGCTGAGGGTGCTGAGCCTGGGAGTGCTGACTCTGGGGGTGCTGAGCGTGTGGGTGCTACGCCTGGGGGTGCTGAGCCTGAGGGTACTACGACTGGGGGTGCTGAGCCTGGGGGTGCTGCGTCTAGGGGTGCTACGCCTGGGGGTGCTGCGTCTGGGGGTGCTGAGCCTGGGGGTGCTACGCCTGGAGGTGCTGAGCCTGGGGGTGCTGAGCCTGGAGGTGCTGAGCCTGGGGGTGCGGAGCCTGAGGGAGCTGGGCCTGCTGGTGCTGTGCCTGGCGGTTCTCCGGGTGCTTCTTCTCGCCGGGAGCCACTCTCTCCACAGGAGCTGCGTGAGTGGTTTGCCCGGCGCTGGAGGCGAGCTGCTGGAGCTGGAGGAGCTGCGGGTACTGGAGTTTCTGTTGCTGCTGAGGGAGCTGGTGCCACGGGTCCTGGAGGTGCTCGTACTGGGCGTCCTGGACCTGCTGGACCTGCGGGTACTTCTGGAGCTGGAGCTGCTGCGGGTGTTGGCGCGGAGACTACTGCTGTCGGTCCTGGCGGCGGTCCTGCTGGGGGTACTGCTGGTGCTGCTGGGGGTACTGGAGCTGGAGCTGCTACTGGTGCTGGTGCGGCCATAGGGGGTGCTGGTGCTGTCCCTACTGTATCTGGAGTCGCCGCGCGGCCTCGGCCGTACTTCGTTCCGCTCCTTCAGCAGGTTCTTGGTCTCCCGTCTTCTACTGGTCCTCCTCCTCCCTTAGAGTGTCCATAGCCTGTCCCGTCGCAGTTACAGTTACAGCCGGCCTCCCCACTGCCTGCTCCGTCTCCCTACACTGGTCCTACTGGAGGTCTTGCTGAGCGTCGTGAGCCTGCGTCTCGCCCTGCGTCGCCTGTCCGTGCTGCTCGCACTAGTGGTCGTGGTTTGCGTCAGCGTCCTCCTCCTGTCCCTGGCACGCACCGGATGTCTCTGCGTCCGTCCACTGCTCCTCTGCGTGCCCCTTTGCCTTCTCCTCCTGAGTCTTCTCTTCCTGCTCTTGCCGACCCGGAGTCGGACTCTCTTCGTGCTGCCAGTCCTACTGTCACGCGTCTCCTTGCTACTGTCGTCACTGACCCTTCCTTTGAGTCCACTGCTGCGTCTGCCCTAGTTGCTGAGCTCGTCGACTTTGCTGCTCGCTGTCGTCTAGACTACGCTGCTAGTCTTGTCGCTGAGTCTGAGTCTGTCTGTCCTCCGTCCGTCGGGGGTGAGTGTGCCCTTGGCACGGACGTCCTTGAGGACAGGCAGGAGGAGTTCCAGTGCTTGGCCGCTGCTTCACCTCATCTCGTGTCCGTACTGCTTACCCCTGAGGGAGACCCGGATGCACTTGACATCCCGACTCCGCGCTCTTACGCGGAGGCGATAGAGGGTCCCTACTCCTCTCAGTGGCAGGCAGCTATGGACGCAGAGATGGCTTCCTGGAAGTCCACAGGCACCTACGTTGACGCTGTTCCCCCTCCTGGGGCGAACATCGTCAGTGGCATGTGGATTTTCAGGGTGAAGCGGCCGCCGGGTTCTCCGCCTGTCTTCAAGGCGCGTTACGTGGCTCGAGGCTTCAGTCAGCGGCAGGGAGTTGACTACTTTCAGACCTTCTCTCCCACCCCGAAGATGACCACTCTTTGGGTACTGCTGCACGTAGCTGCTCACCGTGACTACGAGCTACACTCTCTTGACTTCAGCACTGCTTTCTTGCAGGGCAGCCTGCACGAGGAGATCTGGCTGCGTCGCCCACCTGGTTTCACTGGGTCTTTTCCTCCTGGCACCCAGTGGAGCCTACGGCGGCCAGTCTACGGTCTCCGCCAGGCACCGCGTGAGTGGCACGACACACTGAGGACTACACTTGCGGCTCTTGGGTTTGCTCCCTCTACTGCCGACCCGTCGCTGTTTTCTGCGCACCGACACTTCTTTGCCGCCGTTCTACATCCTCGTGTACGTCGACGACTTGGTCTTTGCCACAGCTGACACTGCTGGACTCGCCCACGTGAAGTCCGAGCTGCAGAAGAGACACACGTGCACTGACCTGGGTGAACTGCGCAGCTACCTTGGCTTGCAGATCACTCGGGACAGAGCACGCCGCACCATTACCCTGACTCAGTCACACATGGTGCAGCAGGTCCTTCAGCGCTTCGGCTTCACGTACTCCTCGCCTCAGGCCACTCCTCTGCCTACTCGCCACTCGCTCTCAGCTCTGCCTTCGGATGAGTCCGTAGAGTCGAGTGGCCCGTACCCAGAGCTTGTTGGCTGCCTCATGTACCTGATGACCTGCACACGACCTGACCTTGCATACCCTCTTAGCATTCTCGCACGCTATGTTGCTCCTGGGAGACACAGACCGGAGCACATGGCTGCAGCGAAGAGGGTGTTGCGCTACTTGTGCAGTACGTCGGGCATGGGGCTTGTGCTTGGAGGGCAGAGTCCAGTGGTCCTTACTGGGCACGCAGACGCTTCTTGGGCTGACGACCAGGCTACGCAGCGGTCGTCACAGGGTTACACCTTCAGCCTTGGTTCCGGCTCTGTTTCGTGGCGGGCTACTCGCTCGTCTTCTGTTCTCGGCTCCAGTTGTGAGGCTGAGATCTACGCAGGAGCCATGGCTGCACAGGAGCTTCGCTGGCTCACCTACCTGCTGACTGACCTCGGAGAGCCGCCTCGTTCTCCTCCAGTACTGTACGTAGACAACAAGGCCATGCTAGCCTTGTGTCGGGAGCAGCGACTAGAGCACAGAACGAAGCAGATTGCTCTCCGCTACTTTCTTGCTCGTGAGCTGCAGCAGCGTGGTCAGCTGCGTCTTGCGTACGTGGCCTCTGAGGCCAACACTGCTGATATCTTCACCAAGGCGCTTGCGCCTTGTGACCATCAGCGCTTCTGTACTCAGCTGGGCCTTGTGCCTACCTTGCCTCACTTGCTCACCTCTTGACCGTGCTTGTACTGTTACATATATATATACCTGCTCTTGCTTGTCTAGCCTTTTTATATATATGTACTCCTGCATGTGAACTGGCCTTGTGGCCTTGAACTTGTGCTCGGAATGTGTGGTGACTTTGTGATCCACCCTGAGCTTGCTTTGCTTTGCTTTACTTGACTGGTCTTGTGACCCCTTGTTCTCCCCCACTTTGCCTATGGGGGTGTGTCAGAACATTATAGCTCATGCATATTGTTTAGGCTATAGTGGGGTAGCCCATAAGGGGTACAACCCAATTAGGGTTATTACTTGTACCCAATTCATTCATAGTTCATTCATTCCTTGTTTCTTCTCACTCGATTATAAGCGCACCCCCTGAAGAAAC